AATAGTAATAGTAATTAATAGTAATAGTAATAGTAATAGCAATAGTAATAGTAATAGAGATAGTAGTAGTCGTCGTCGCAGTAGTAGTAGTCGTCAAAAAGGAAATGCTAATAAAAAAAAAGCGGGTGGGGGGCGCAGGGGGGAGGGCGCAGCGCCTCCCCCCGCAATGCGTACCAAGAAAGAAGCACATAGGCACATGTCTCGATGGATATCAATAAAGTTGAAATGAGCCCAAGGAAAGGATGATGCTTATGAAAAAGCAAAAGAATAGTAGGTACAGATGGGAGCCGGTTAAAAAAATAAAAGCGGGTGCGGGGAGCAGGGGGGAGGGCGCAGCGCCTCCCCCCGCAATGCGTACCAAGAAAGAAGCACATAGGCACATGTCTCGATGGATATCAATAAAGTTGAAATGAGCCCAAGGAAAGGATGATGCTTATGAAAAAGCAAAAGAATAGTAGGTACAGATGGGAGCCGGTTAAAAAAATAAAAGCGGGTGGGGGGTGCAGGGGGGAGGGCGCAGCGCCCGCCCCCGCAATGCGTACCAAGAAAGAAGCACATAGGCACATGTCTCGATGGACATCAATAAAGTTGAAATGAGCCCAAGGAAAGGATGATGCTTATGAAAAAACAAAGAAATAGTAAGTATATAGCAAGGGGAGCCGGTTAAAAAAGTAAAAGTGTACGGGCACTACTGACACTTGCCTCCCAAATGTGGATATTCAATAGCTTAAGTGTCTACTTGCAGCAGCGGCGAATGATGTTGGTTGCGGAGAGCCTAAGCAGCGTGATCCTAAGCATAGCGTGATTGTGTCAGTGTATGTTGCAAGAAGCCTTGGGGATCCGGCTGTTTGAACATGTGGGGGTGCCCGACAAAATGAAACAACCAAATGAGCACTGAATAAGGATTTGTAGCACTTTTTTTGGCAATGAGCGTTTTTTGTTTCTGCGCACTTTTTACTGTATCGAAGGAAGGTTCAGGTATTTTCCCCCCCTCCTTCCTACCTTCCTACCTTCCTACCTTCCTACCGTCCTACCTTCCTACCTTCCTACCTTCCTACCTTCCTACCTTCCTACCTTCCTACCTTCCTACCTTCCTTCCTACCTGCCTTCCTACCTGCCTTCCTTCCTTCCTTCCTTTCCTGCCCCTTCCTTCCTTCCTTCCTGCCCCTTCCTTCCTTGTTTCCTTTCTTTCCTTCTTTCCTTCCTTCCCTCCTTCCTTCCTTCCTTCCTTCCTTCGTTCCTTCCTTCCTTCCTTACGATTTTTTTATCCTAATATTATTTTGTTTTGATCCTAATGATATATTTTTGATCCTAATAGTATTTTTGTTGCTCTAGATGCCTCCTTTACTTCCTTCCTTCCTTCCTTCCCTTTAGGTTGAATATTTTTTTATTGCAATAATAGTTTTGTTTGATAACAACTGTTTTTGATTGCATGTGCAAAGAGAAAGAGAATCAAGAGCCGTAGGATCCATAGATGCGAAAAGCCTCAGGAGCCGAAGGAGCCATAGGAGCCGAAGAAGCCAGAGGAGCCGGAGGAGCCATGCACCAAAGGAGCTAAAAGACAAGCAGCCAGAAGCCAAAGCCAAAAGCCAAGAAGCCACGAAGCCACCAGGAGCCACCAGGGACACAGGAGCCGAAGGAGCCACAGAAGCCAGGAGCCACCAGGAACCAAGGAGAAAAAAAACAACAAATTAAATGCCCCTCCGACTTCTAATGTTTAAAGGATAACAAGTACATCTAAGAAATGTATAGAAATGTTATCTTTGGGTTCAAAACAAAATGTTAGCGCATGATTCATGTATTTTTTGGTATGTTTTGGAAACACATCTATGTGGTTCTGACTTGCATCTCAGCTCAATATTTCTGCAACGGGTTCCGAACGAGGCCAAAAACGATGCCAAAACGAGGCAAGAAAATAGCTTTGGAAACCCCTTAACTCTAGCAGCTCAGCAGCACTTTGCACGCTGCCCGTGGTGGCCCCTCCTTCCCTCCTTCCCTCCTTCCTTCCTCCCCTCTTTTCCTCCTTCCTTCCTTCCTTCCTTCCCTCCTTGCCTCCTTCCTTCCCTTCTTCCTTCCTTCCCTCCTTCCTTCCCTCCTTCCCTCCTTCCTTCCCTCCTTTCCTCCTTCCTTCCTTCCTTCCTTCCTTCCCTCCTTTCCTCCTTCCTTCCTTCCTTCCTTCCCTCCTTCCCTCCTTCCCTCCTTCCCTCCCTCCGTCCTTCCTTCCTTCCTTCCTTCCTTCCTTCCTTCCTTTCCTCTTGTATGGTCATTTATTTTTTTTGATGCATTTATATTTTTTTTGATGCATTTATATTTTTTTTGATGCATTTTTATTTTTTTTGATGCATTTTTATTTTTTTTTGATGCGTCTCCCCTTGGTGTTGGTGCCCGGGTTCCTTGTTCTAATCCCTTTTCTAATCGGTTGATTGTTCTTTGCAGCTTTACAGGATAATGAGAAATTTCCAACTTCGAGGTTTCCACGACTGCAGCATCAGAATTTCCGACTAATAAGTATCCCCATATTGCATACAGCATGTTTTTAAGCACATCCACATGCCATTAAGCCATACAACTTTTGAAAACAACAAGATTTTGTGCCAGATTTCGTCAACATCCGGCACAATTGGAAAATTAAGGGTACATTGCCTGTAAACTGTTTCTAGGATGTCCCCACGGAAAAAAGCACCCTAAATGTCCATGCCGCACCCAATTTTTTGGGTTTTTTGTGACATCAAAAAATTTTGCGCCAGATTTCGTCAACATCCAGCACAAATGGAAAATTAAGGGTACATTGCCTGTAAGCTGTTTCTAGGATGTTCCCACAGAAAAAAGCACCCTAAATGTCCATGCCGCACCCAATTTTTTTGGGTTTTTTGTGACATCAAAAGATTTTGCGCCAGATTTCGTCAACATCCAGCACAAATGGAAAATTAAGGGTACACTGCCTGTAAACTGTTTCTAGGATGTTCCCACGGAAAAAAGCACCCTAAATGTCCATGCCGCACCCAATTTTTTTGGGTTTTTTGTGACATCAAAAGATTTTGCGCCAGATTTCGTCAACATGCAGCACAAATGGAAAATTAAGGGTACATTGCCTGTAAACTGTTTCTAGGATGTTCCCACGGAAAAAAACACCCTAAATATCCATGCCGCACCCAATTTTTTTGGCTTTTTATGACATCAAAAGATTTTGTGCCAGATTTCGTCAACATCCAGCACAAATGGAAATTAAGGGTACATTGCCTGTAAACTGTTTCTAGGATGTTCCCACGGAAAAAAGCACCCTAAATGTCCATGCCGCACCCAATTTTTTTTGGCTTTTTATAACATCAAAAGATTTTGCGCCAGATTTCGTCAACATCCAGCACAAATGGAAAATTAAGGGTACATTGCCTGTAAACTGTTTCTAGGATGTTCCCACGGAAAAAAGCCTCCTAAATGTCCATGCCGCACCCATTTTTTTTTGTTTTTTTATGACATCAAAAGATTTTGCGCCAGATTTCGTCAACATCCAGCACAAATGGAAAATTAAGGCTACATTGCCTGTAAACTGTTTCTAGGATGTTCCCACGGGAAAAAGCCTCCTAAATGTCCATGCCGCACCCAATTTTTTTTGGTTTTTATACATCCAAAGATTTTGCACTAGAATTCAAGGTACATTGCCTGTAAACTGTTTCTAACATAATACCACCTAAATGTCCATATCGCACCATTTTTTTGAAGTTTCACTGCAGCCATAAAGTATTCTTTCATCATGTCCTCATGAAGATAAGACCCTCAAGGTAGGTGCAACAAAAACCGTCATCAGGTTAAAAATTCTTCGGATAATGTCATGTCATGCTGTTATTACTGGTTCCACAATTCATAGTAAGCATCAAAGATACTGACACCCCAGTTTGTGTGATGGTTCTGATAGAAACAAGCACTTAACCTAAAAGAACATCATCCTGGTTCAATTAAGGGTTATTTTGCCCAAGCTATCCTCTCATTTAATGTGAATCTTCAGATTCAAGCTAACCACATCGTTCATGCCAAAATAGGATGGTTCATGATGTTCTCATCGTAAGCCAACCGTTTTTCCATAATAACGGTTTGTGCCGGATTGAAGTTAGTTCCCGGCACAAAACCGCACAATTTTCAATCATTGTGTAACTGTAGTATCTAGTGGCTTTGAAATGAAGTATGTTCCCATCTCAAATCACTACTGTTTTGTGCCGGATGTCAGCGATATCCGGCACAAAAGACTCCTTTTTGTGCCACATGGCATCAACATCAACTTGAAGTTACTCCCCAAATCGAGCCCTGTTTGTGCCGGATGTGGGTGACATCCAGCACAAATCATCCATTTTGTGCCGGATGCCATTGACATCCGGCACAAACCACTCACATTTTGAGCAGCACCGTTTTTTTTCCAAACGGAGGACACGTCACATAGATGCCATGCGATGATGTGCAATCTCTGCAGAGTTTTGAAGGCATGAAGGCCAACATATGGCTTAAAATGTGTATGTTCCACGGGCCACATTTAAAGCTGGATGCCAATGACATCCAGCTTTAAAACCTTCAAAAATCACCGGATTTCAAATTGTTGGTGTTCAAAATTACTTCAGTTACGGATTCGCCCAGAAACAGCAGATTTAAAGCTGGATGTCAATAGCATCCAGCTGAAATTTACCTATGTGTCAAACATGACTTTTTGTGCAGAAATTGCCCTACGTGACACCAGATTTTGCGATGGCAGCAGGGCTGGTTCAAGCGAGTTCTCAAGCTAGGAAAAAAATAGAATTATGCCAATTATGCCAGGTAAGTAGTGATTGGAAGTAATGGTGAGGATCACTGAAAGAGAGATAGCGGGGATCACTGAAAGTAATGGTGGGGATCACTGAACATCATCCGGTGGGGATTGCTGAAAGTAGCGGTGGGGATTGCTGAAAGTAGCGGTGGGGATCACTGAAAGTACCGGTGGGGATCACTGAAAGTAATCGTTGAACCACCCTTAACCTTCAGATCGCCATGGACTGGTCAAAGGCTTCAGTGACTATACTGATGGCCTCATTCCATGATACCCCGCGACCCCAGAGTCGGGCTGCAGCTCTGTAGATATTGGTTTGACGTCTCTTGCCAACATAGCGGAGAAGCTCCCCACCGTGCAAGCGTTCATAGTTCATCCGAATCTCATTGGGCACCTGACAGGCGTGCTCGGGCATGCTGGAAAATAAAATCATAGCTGGCTATGGTTCATTTTACTGAATTTTTTGTTGATTACTTAATTAATCATGAAACTATTACGGAATTACCCGGAAAACAATAATTTTTAAACAACTTGAAGATCGAAAGAACCAGAAACATCCAAAAAAAAATCCTGAAAAATATTAGTTAGTACTATTCCTCTAGTTATGCAAATATTATAATATATATATATATATATATATATCATTTATTTATTTTAATGTAATATATATATATATATATTATATATGTATATAGATATTATGTATATATATAGGTATATATATATATGTATATATTATATAAATGTATATGTATATATATATGTATATATATATATTATATCATCTTATTTGAACACAAAAAATCAAATTAAAAAAATGCCACTGGAGGCACTGGGTTCAAACATTGCCCGCGAGCTGAAATCCCAGGGGCGCCAGGCCCCATCACAGGCCCTGGCGCTACCACGCAATAGTTCACACTCAACATTGGGTTTCGTGGGGCTTCGTTCTTTGCCAAACTCTCCAGATGAGAAGCAGCTTCATGCATCCGAAAAGGCTCTTGTCCTCAGGGCAAAAATGAACAGCAAACAGTCTTGAAGTTGGTACCTGCGAAAATTCCTATGCCCATGAACGTTGAAACTAACCACCCCCAGAGTTGACCCTTTTAAGAAAAAACGTGGCGCCACGCTAGAAGTTTAGCGAAGGTGCGCATCAGTGCTGCATACTTGAGCCAGTTTTCCTTCGACTTCTCCTCCACGATCCGTTCATCCAACAGAACTTAGCTGACAACTGACGATCGACCTGACCATCTCATGGAAACAGAAAGCAACCTGCAAAGTAACAGCCGAACACTGGCAGCCAAGTTGGTTTGCGGTTGATCCGACAACATTCCTAAGTATAGACCAAGTCAAGGAACCTTCAGGCACAACGGCTGATGATGCAAAAGCATTGCACAGTTGTGCTGGCAAATATAGTAGAGCCATCTGCCAGGAATCATCACTCATCCACTGCTTGGTCCTGTGTTCAAACTCTTTGTGGGGCCCAATTATGGCACACTGCGGGCCCCACAGGACTCACACACACTGAGTGATAATTTCGACACCACAAGGGGGGGGTACTTTATAAATTATTGTTGGATTGAACTTGTCTTGGAGCCTATCACTGCACACTGGGTTGGAAACAGTTTAAGATTATGACAAGTGGGCTGGCCCTGTTCAAGGTGACCAAAACCAGCGATCAGTCCTCAGGATGACATCCTTCGGGTGAGGGACATGACTGAGTCCCCAGAACTTTGTTGACACATTGGTATTGTCTTCAAATCCTGCCAAGAAAGCGGCGCAACTCCAGGAGCATCATACAATATAAATTAGGAAATATTTCAAAGGTATAGCATCATAGATAGTATGGACCTTTACCGTCCAGAACGAGGAATACTTATTTCAACGATAACTGTGTGGCAAAACACACAAACCGAACAATTCAATCCACAGCGCCTGGTAAATTTTCACGGCGATCAAAGGAAAAAACATGAGGAGCTGACGGCCCTCCAATGCCTCCCAAATGGTTGCCAGAGCAAGCCAGGTGCAAGTAGGATTTCCTCAGCTTGGACGTTTCAAGTCAAGACTAAGACCTGATACTATCTGCATCCCAAAACAAGGGAAATAATGACTGATCAAATTCCAGTGTCCAATCACGTACCGTGTCAACTTTGCAAACATAACGTTCCTGCTCAAAAGGCCTGACAGACTGGTCTTGTAAGAAGGAGTCAAGGATGGTCACGAATTGGTCCGGTGTGTGGATCTCCCGGCGGCCTTCAATTAGATTTGATAAGGTTGAAAAAAACTGATCTATGTCCTCGTGTGAATGCCCGCTTTCCAAAAAGGAAAGCAGGCATGAATGGCAGCGGCCAGATCCCGTCATCATTCCGGCAAATCGACATACAGTATTATTTTTATTTTCTCTTCCGCAATTATCCATTTGTATATGGATCTGGCAGCTACGGACATCAGTTTGTGAAGCCACTTTTGACAGGGCATGGGCAATCAACTCCGTGGTCCAGGATGAACTCTTTGGAACATATGGCTCTGAGCAGGCCACCACGACATTGTATCCATGGCATATAATCGCAGAAACATCCAAGGCTGGTCGTACCAGTCCTGCGAATTCTTTCGAACTGCAAACTGCACTGCGTGGATACCGGTATTTGCTTTTGTCCATGCCGTCTACCACCAATGTAATGGTGGAAACGCCACTGGGTTGCATCCCCAAACGGGAGCGAGCACGGGCCTGCCAATACTTCACTCTGTCCTGGTATTGGCGTACCAAATGTTTTTGGTACTCCAGCATCTGCATGGCACGGGCCCGCTTGTCAGAGGAAAGGCGTTTCAGAATCATTTTGTGACGTGTGCATGTGCTGCATGTACTGTGCTGGGACACACGTCTGATTGCCATCTTGGTAAAGCTCGATCCCCATACCTCACATGAGTTAAAAAGAAAAAATGGGATGATCGCTGTGGGCCATCCATCACTTCTGTGGCTGACCATATATTATTATTATTGTCAAGTTCAGAAATTGTGATCAAACGATAGCCACGTGCACGAAAAAATATTGCCTCGTAGAAGCCAGGCAAGGGGCTGAGCACAGAAGCTTCAGAGAGAACTTCTCGGCTGGATACTTTGCCTGGAGCATGCCTAGGTACTCTGTCAAAGTTCCAGGCGGTAGCAAGCGGACAGGTTTGTCCTGCAATTTCTCTCTTTGCAGAGCTTTGTCACGGGATCTCTTGCCAGGGTTCTTGCCACGATTCCTGCGGAACCTCATCTTGGGCATGACATAATCAGGATGATCTTGATCGGGGCCAAACTGCTTGTCAGCCTCTGGCATCGGCTCCGACATGCTCTGATAAATCTCCTCCAAAAAATCAACCACCAGGCCTCTCCTCCGAGAAGCATCAGGATTGCTGCTGTCATGTCCCCGAGGCCGGCAACGTCCATCAACTGGAAGGGGTTCATCTGTCAGAGCACAACGTCTCAATCTACGGAACCGCCCGGCACCAATACCAAGTAGTTGCCGAAAAGCATGCGCACACACAGGTCTCCCAATCAAACTCAACTCCTTCCGGTTGGATGAAGGTGCCTGATGTGCACCACCTGATGAGGCAAGCAAGTTGGCCAACAGAAGCACGACGCAGCACTGACTGACTAACACTAAGCACCGCAAAGGGCGCACTCTGTGACACTCAAGCTGACTTGGCATCCATGTCAGCAATTGCAAGCTTGTGCAGGTCCACCCTCAAGTTGGTCAAGTTGTCAACATCTCCTCGGAATTGCCTGTGGCAGCTCATGTTGGCCTTCTTGCGTTGCCTGGCGCAAGTGCAAGTGGTGCCCACTAGGTGAGAGATGCGAGCCCTCATTGTTGCAGGGTCTGTGGACTTTGTTTGTTTCTGGATCTTATCAGGCCGCACGACAGCTGGTGATTGGGCAGGCTGGGCATCAGAATCAGAAAGCTCTGTGAGGTCAGGTTTCGAACTTTGACGCTTGACACCCCTGCTACAAGATTCACTATCGGAATCGCGCACAACGACATGTTGCCACTCCATGTGCCTAATTTGATGTTGGCATTGATCAATTCAAATCAACCCCACTGTCTGGGGCTATTGTGTTCCCGGTTTTCAAATGTTATGTGTCGTGTGTGTGTGTGTGAGCGCGTGTGCTTGTGTGTCTGCCCAAGTGTGTGTTTGTGTGTGTGAGTAAAAATAGTAATGCTACAAAATAAAACAATCAATAATATACAATGTCTTAGTGTGTTGAATGTGGCACCCAGCGTGTGCCTGTGACATTGGGCTTGCACGACTTGAAACCTACCATCATTATCATTTCTGAATCTGTCTGCTGTGAAACTGGGAGCCTGAGCTGCCGTATATCTTGCAGTTGGGATTCCTTTTGATTTTCAGACTAATTCTGAATTGCCTTTGCTTTTACCCGGGAAATTGGGAAAGAATAGAGAAGTCATCCAGAACCTTCCAACCGCCCCATGCAAAAACCCAAGACGTCAGACCGATTGTTCTTTTGCACTTGGATTTGACAGCACACTCAATCAAAGGTCTGGTGAGTGGAAGCGCTGTCTCTCACTCTTCAAATTGAAGCAACGGCAATGAACCACGAATTATTCACAGAATAATAACGGCAGCAGCTAACTACTCCCAAACAAACTCAGTCACCCATCTACGCGGCAGCTGCAGTGTCTGGAAAGATCTTGCTCTTGACTCTACGCAAAGTCTGGGATACCAACGAGCGGGGAGCAAGTGCAGCATCGTCATTGACATTGGGCTGAAAGCCTGGAGCCGGAAGTCAACATACATTCAAAGAGAAGCCAAAAAGTTTTCCAGCCTAACTGAAAGCGAATGGAAAAAGAGAAAAATGAGGTAATTGTGTTGAGGTTGGAATTTGTCAACACTGAGTGACAACACTAACGGCTCTGAAGAAGGCGCCTTCCAGACTGCTTGCCCCGCGCTTGATAGACTTCCGCATCTCCCCTGGCACTGGCCAAGAACCAACAAAGGCCAAGCCGAACATTTCCTTATGACAAATGGCTGTCAGCACGTGAAGTCAAAGCTTTGGACCAACTGTTACGTGAAATTGACCTGACTGACAGTCAGTTTTAAGTTTCTCTTGATTCCTGCGTGACGGTGGCTCTGGGCCTGAGCAGGCTGTCGGGCCCAGGTCCGTGGTGATCCTCTCGCAGACCTGCGCTGGAACATTATTTCATTGACTGTTGTATGAACAGACTAACCAATAAGATGGGCGCTATTCTGTGGTCATGTTAAGCCTCTGATAAAGTTTAGCTGGCAAGCACTAAAGCTCGTCCCACTAAAAGGTGTTGAGACAGAAATTTCGGATAAAAGGACATTTAAAAGTTAGGCTCTTCAGTCAATCAAAATCCAAACGGATCATTACAATAAAGCACCATGGCCAAAGACCACCCTTTTCTTATCATCTCTGTCAACATTTTGAAGACTGTGTTAAATCTCCCATGCTTTGGTGTGGACAAGACAATTCCTGAATCTTCCCCAAGGTTCGAATTTAAGGTAGAACATTCCGTCTTGATTACTTTGTTTCACGCTGGAAAAACCGTGTAAAAGAGATTTGTTTTACACGGGTTTTTGATGCTTCAGCTGACACACCATTACCCATTCTACAGGTAGCCCGAACACGCCTTACTGATTGTTTAGGGCAAATCCCCTAAGATCCCAAAACAATGGGCCTTGTGGAACGTCGATTGCACAAACTTGGCAGTAGCCTTTAGTATAACTAACTTTATGGTTTGCCCTGGTATCCCCTCAGCAGCTTTGTCTCCTTTATTATGATTAAAACCTTTCCAGTGCAGCCAATGTCATCTGCTTCAAGTTGAATTGAATCTTTCAAAGTGCGCATGCACAAACACCAACTTACTTTTAAGTAACAACTCTTCACGTGAACTGGAAGGCCCACACCCAGCCTCTGGGCCTGGAGTGAAGTCAACCCTGGAGCTCAAAGCCTGACAAAGAGTTTCTGCACATTCACAATTCATTAAACCACTACTTTTCGGGTACAAAACAAAACATACGCTTCAAACCAGACCGGTGGAAAGCCCACATCCAGCCTCTGAGCCTGAAGTGACATCAACCCTGGAGCGTGACTCAGAAGTTGGCACCGATGCCTGACAAATTTCACATCAAGCTTGTCACACTTTCTAAATATTATCTGGTTGGTCCCCAAAAAAGGCCCCCACAAGTCCCAAAATCGTTCATAAAAATGCGGGAATTTTGGGGACTTGTGGGGGCCTTTTGTGGTGAGCAACACTTTTTGGAAAGTAGCCATTTAAAATACGCTGACTCAGTGATAATATGTTTGTTCAGAGAGCTATTTTCATAAAACACGCTGCATCAATGACTTGATCAGGCTCAGGATCCAATCTTGATTAATATATATAACACCTCACCACGCGCAATAATCACAATAAGGAGTCCGACTTTGGTTTGAAAAAAAACTGGAAATCGGGGCCTTGGACTAGGCCTGATTTTGGTTTATTGATTGTAATTAACATATTTCATACTGACAGTATTCCCCCTCCCTCGTACATGTTGCGGAATTATGCGATTTGTTGACACCTCGCGGTCCTGGTTGCATGATGTCATCCAAGATTTGTTGGGCGCGATGCTTTGAGGACACGCGATGCAAAGGGCAGTTTAAAGGGATAGGAAAAAAACAAGGGGAACACTTTGAATTTACGATATGATAAATTGCGCGCAGTAAAGTTTATGTAGCAACCTCACTGACTAGGCCCAACAATGGCCTAACAGCAGCTTTCTTTTGTGTAGTTGTTGGGGGTCCAAAAGAACACGCCCGCCTTGCTCAAAACCCAAGTATATTCCACCAGATCTTTATGTTCAAATACTAATCGGAATCTGCTCTGTGTGGTTACCGAAGCCAGTACCCAGTGCCAGATGGATATCTCAATCTACGCGTGCGCTAAGACCCAATATTAACAAACTGTTTTTGACACATTCACACCGCAAAAGATCTTTAGTTTTAACTCTAAATTGTTTTGCATACATTGAAGACCAAAAGCTGCGAGCAAAAAAAAGAGGACCTGGCCTCTGCCACGGCCGCACCAGGTCGGCGCAAAGCCTGGGCCCAAAGTGAAGAACTGATTCGAAAAATGTTTGAGACCAACCACAGCCTCCAAACAAAAACTTCGCTGTAACATCTCACTCCATGGGTTCTAAGACTGAATCCAAAAAGCTTTGAGCAAATCTTCAGAGACGTGATGTTCAGCTTTAACCCGTGGAATAGAATAATTAGAGTGATCTGATGTTTGACGTCTCTTGGGCAATAACAACAATCATCCAAGCATCATTGCAGACCACAATCAAGGTTTTATGCATCAAATGGCGCTGAGGAATGCACACTAGAATCATCAGGCTCAGGGTGATCTTCAAGAGCTACGATCTCTGGCGAGCCCTGCGCTAGATCTAACATTTCCCACTCTTCAGAACTGCTATCATCTGGAAAGCCTGAGTTGCCACAGTAAATGTCACCATTGCCATAAACTGCGCCCCACCACGACTGGCGTGGAAGATTCTGGCCCTTAGGGCGCTCAACATAACGACCGGGCATGGCAATGAGGGCCGGAGACACTCGGTGCGAAGAGGCACTGAATGGAAAATGTCTGTGGAGGTGAACAATAGGTGAACCACTTGACCAGCGAACTGCAACTCGCATCTGGCTCCCACCCCTAAACATGTCAGATTGACCTTCAAGTCATAGATTCCGGGGCTCGTCATCATCGTCATGATGACATCATGTCAGGAGCGAATTAAACTGAATTAATTGAATGTGAAAATAGTGAAAAGCTGACACAGGCACACTCACTCTCTTCTTCTTCTAAGTACCGAAATGAGACACGCACATGAAATCTACAGGGGCCAGAAACTAATCTGACTGGCCTTTTTCTTGCTGGCTACATGAGTTACTATCCTGTATGAAAGTTGCACCAACTCAAACATTACTGGAAAATATCTCTCCCATGAGGATGCGCCATGATGTGTGCAGCAAGCCTGGCACACCTAGGAATCACAATGTTGCCAACGGCTTTGAGACGCATCCGATCACTCTCAGATTGGTTCTTGACAAGCCACTCATGGAGCGGGGGCCTGTGTTTGCCAAAATGATGACACTCGTGAGCTTCCTGGATCATCTTCTCCAAGGTCAGCACTCGGACGTCCTGGCATGGAGACAGGCTTGAAATAATATCGGATTTTAATTTAATATCAAATTGTAGCTGAAAAACTGCTGTAACAAACAGCAGCACTCAAATTGAAAGTCACTTTCAAACAAAACCAATGAAATCTCATT